TGTTTTTATGGTGCAAGAATAGTCAGGGTAGCTAGTCTGCACTAAGAGAGCACTTCATTATTATCTAGACTTTTAGGATTTAATTCTCTTGTCTACGATTCCATCAGCCCAGCTCTTTAGTGAGCTCAACCAGTATTTTACATAAATTAGTCCTGGAGCTCAGACTATATCGTTTAGCATTCCTTTTTCTTTTTCTTCCTCCAGTGAGGCTCAGGGTTTAGAGCCCAAAATGCGTATGTGTCTTTTTTTTCCATTCTGAAACCCTAGTTTATCACTCACTGGTGCTGGTGATACAAAAGCTTGTTATACTAAAGCATCACCCTGAATGTCTGTTTTTGACAATTCACTGAATCATTTGACATTCAGGATTTTACTTAGCTTTGGGCCTATCAAGTAACTCAGAATAATCTGGAAACAAATTCTTTAATCAAACTGTGTATTTGATCATCTAAAGTATAGCTGTGCTTATACATACAAACGTATGTAAAGTATATTATCCCATAAGCCCTATGGCTATGAATATGGCTGTGTGTAGTATGACAGTCTGGGGGTGTGAACTTTAAAACTCCAAATGATTTTCATTAGTAATAACCCATTAGTGGACATAGTTCATTTTTTTTTAACTTTTAATCTGTGATTCAAATAATCATCAAAATTGATATAAGAGATAGAAATAAACTTTGTTTCTGTATCTGTATAATGTGTGAGGACCTATTGGTGTTTATTTCCATCTATTTCTTAGATGGAAATTCATGCTTTAGTTAAGTTGCATTGCACTTTCTCTGCTATTTGCTTCTTGTGAAATTTGGCCTTCTGTTTATATTGTTTTGCTTCAAGCATTTTCCTTTTCCTGTGTCTCACATCCAGAGAGGTCGGCTGTGTTCTCCCCCAATATCACATGTTTTGTTCATGACTGAGTTTAGGCTGCTTGGCACCTTCAGTGTTTAGCCCTGTCACTGGGTGCCCTATGGACCTTTTTATGAAGAAGGTTGTGAGGACGTTTAGAAATCAGAAGCCTTCTGTGTGACTAAATCAGCAGCCTGCTGCCATACTTGAGAATTCTGATAATCTTTGACACCCAGAGATTAGAGCCTTCTTTGGATCATACTGAGACACTCAAAAGTCATCCAACTTGTAGCATTTTTTAGCAGTGGGAGCACTTGGTTGTAGTTAGCAGGCCAGTATGAGCTATAAATAAATAAAATCCTACAATGCTTGCTTCTTTCATTCAGGGTAGTCTGCTGATAAGATGCAGGGATTTGGCAGAAGAGAAGATTCTCAGCAGGTGTAAGTGCTTACCAAAGTGCTTTCCTGTATCCAAGGCACAGCTTCTAATCTCTGCTATGTTATTTTGACACTCTAGACTTGTAAGATTGGAGAGTCAAGTTTAAAATTCTCATATCATTGGGTAGCCCAATGTCCCTTCTTGTCATGGAAGACTAGTGGATTCCATGGAGAAGGAAAAGCAGAATCCAGGGTACCTGTAAACCCTGTAGTTTTGTGCTGTGGGTTTGTAACTAATTATACAGCAGGCAACAATAAGAAGCTGTAGTTCTGTTGGCATACTTTGTTCAGAAAGCAAAGTCTTCCAGCAGAGCAAAGAGGGAGCTTTGAATGGGCTGCAAATGAATGAAGCAATGGTCATTTTATTGTAAACCAAAGCTCTGCAGTGGAATCAGGGCATCTAAACTGCAAGGAGGTAGAGGGGAGGGGAGATGCAGATAGAAATACATGGTTCAGATGTGTTTTACAGCTCTTGATTTGGATTCTCCTGCAGAACTATAGAGTCATGCAAGGAGACCACCACAGGTCACAGCCAGTCCAATTGCTCTTCCTCCTATGGTACTGCTGTTAGTGATTGCTAGAAGGTTATTCAGCCGACCTCTTCTGATTCTGCTTTGCTGCCTGATTTCAAAAGATTTGCCCTGTACTGGCTCTCAGTCACAGCTTGATGTAACCACTACTTGTTTGCATGTAGCCCCATCATTTCCATATAAGGTCTTTTTTTTCCCCCTTCAAGTTAGAAGGCAAAAGAATTGGGAGCATTTTTATATAATAAAAGATTTATGTAGGTCCAGCTAGACTCAAGCAAAATGAAATTCAGCTGGAAGGGATGGTAAAAGGCTCAGAGAACTTGTGACTGCCAGAGAAGTCAGTGTTCCTTAAATAAAGGGTTCAGCTAGCAGGCAGGAACTCTAACTTTGCATTCAAATTGAAGCAGACTCTCCAGCTATTCTAGGCAGGCAGATCAATAAAATCAGAGGTGACTTAATGCTAAGAACCTCAGAATTCAAAGGATTTCTCTTGTCCTTTAAATTTAGTCTGTATTGATGTGAAATGCTAGCCTCAGGAACTGAGATGAGAAAATGCCAGGTCTAGATTCTGGTTTATGACAGCATATCATGGCAGTGTCCTTGGAAAGCATTGCCTTTCATTTCTCAGTTACCACATCTGTAAAATGGAGCTAATCTACTGGAAGGAAAATATCCCATTATTTATCAAAACAGTGTGAATGAAGACTCATCATAAGTGCTTTGAACAGCTTAACAGCAAATGTCTTATGAAAAGTGAATTTACATCCATTTATGTATTTGAAAATTCAGTTGATTGCCTTATCTGCGATTGAGCAATTCGGCTATTTTTGCATGATGAGTAGGCAGTGAAAATGCGGTAGAATTTATTTTACTTTTAGCCATATAAATGGAATATTTGACTCATACATGATCTCTTCCGTGGTTGTTTATTTTTGTGCAGACCATGGATCTTCCACAATAGTGTGTACTATGCCACATTGATCATATTCTTAAATTGATCAAAGAGCCCCTGAATAGGGTAACAAAATACATAAATGATCATTATGGACATGGCTAAGTATTTACCTGGTTATGGAGAGTTTATCCTTCCTTACCTGCTCATTTCTTCTACAGCCCCATAGACCACAGATTCCTGCTCTGCCAAAGAGGATAAGCTGCCTATAAATTTACCTTTTAGATGATTGATTTGGGGCCATTCCTTTAAAAACTTGAAGCTGCTGGGAGTTTTTGTTCTTATCCCATACTGTGTAGATGGTACACAATACCTATAACAAAGCATCAGGGGGCTCCCTATGAGAGCTTGACAATTGCTGATGGAGAAGGGCTGGCTGTCTTTTTGTTTGTAGTGGTCTGTTCAGTTCAGTTCAGGCCCTTTTCTGCTGAAAACTTGGCCCTCACTCTGTGAAGACTCCCTAAGGGATTAAAGTGTAGCTACAGAAGTAGTGAGACCATTCAGGTAGTTTAAGAAATTGGTTAACAGTTGAGAGAGATTATATCGGTTTCTATATTCTAGAAATCTAAATGGATGGAGCCTGAGATTGCTTTGGTTGTAGCGTTCTTCTTTCTGAACTGAGGTTCCTGATGAGAGACTGTGCAGGTGGCCCCTTTCCTTAGAATTCTTGCTATCATTAGCATTTACTATTAGTTTTCTGTTTAGCTACCCTGCCCTCTGTTCTAGAACCTGTGCTTACTTTTTGCTTGTTTTGAGGGCCAACTGCATTATAAGTAAGGGTCTCTGTAAAAGGAAGCCCATTCCTCTGAATGAGAGGCTCAAAGAATCCAAATAGCAAAGCAGATTTTTGCCCTCAAAGGTTGCTCTTGCTGCCTTATGAATTCACTGTGATACAGGTTTGATGCAAAGAGCATTGCTACTCACAAATCACATGAGGTATACAGTTTGTGTGCAGTGATATGTCATAGCTTTTTATTTATATGGCCAGCTCAGTCTGTTCTGCTCCTTTCACTGCTATGAAAAGTGCATCATTTTCCTTCCTCTCTCCTCCTTCCCACATATCATCAGCACCACCCACTATGTTCTGCCCATTAAGTCCTCTGTGTGCCAGAAAACCCCAACAATGATTAAATGCTGATAAAAGAATGTTAGAAGGTTAAGATATCAACCAATTAACTTCCTTACAGTAGTCTTAAATTGTGGGTGGTAAGTAAAACTTTGCCCTTTTAGTATTGAAAATAAGGGTTTTTATTTGTTTGTTCCAGTTGAGGAAGTGACATTAAATTAAGAAAAAAAAAAGCATTGATGGCAAAGAGCAAAAAGAATAAAGGAGATGCTTTGCAGTTTCCATTCTTATCATACTCTTTCTTTCATGATTTTGGCACATTCTTTATTAAGAAATTCTAGGGCTAGCCAAATTTATGTAAGGTTTTATTTGTGAAAGGCCTGTAGTTTTAAAGCTTATGGCAGTTTTAAAAAGTCATTATTACCCTAAATTCATTTAATTTTAAAAGTATTAAATTATACAGATTATGCCACTTTAGCCGTAGAATCATTTGTCATTATATTCCTGCATGATTTCCAGTTCCTTTAAGCTTCTTGTAATACAGAGTGCCTTCCTTTTCAACAGCCGCCTCTGTTTCCCCCAACATACCCCGATCTATGGGAGGAGAGCATGGTTAAAAAGACTGAGGAAAGGTAGCTGGGAATTGAGATTCCTGGCTTTTCTTTGGAGGAGAGTTTGTAGTTTCACCATTTATCCTAGAAAAACAATTCAGGTGGGAGGGACTGTGGAAACAATGTCCCTGGACCTCCTTATTATTTTTTTCATAAAATAGGAAAAAGAAAGAAGATGCTCTAGGAATCTTGTCAAGAATTATGTTTCATGTTGAAGCTGAAGATAATATACCATATCATATAGCTTAATTTTCATAAGCCTATGTTTTATCACTACTTGCATTATTTTTTTGTGTGATAGAGGCTATTAAAACACATCTACAGTAAATACAGTTCACCACTTTTCATCAACAGTTGCTGTGGTGAGGTAGGTCAGGAGGCATGCCTCTTTGGAGGCATACTGGGGGTGGAAGGGTAACGAGCACTTGATTATGTCTGTTGAATACCAGAGCTGCCAAACTGGAGCTCTTTGTGTCTAGTCTGTATCTGCTCTGACAATTCTTTTATTATGGCTTTCACTAACGTATCAGTAACTAACTGTGGTTGTTTAATTGCAGAGGGAACATCCCCACGCTAAACAGGTACTGTATGTTTAGTTTCTTTTCCAATAAAAAGCACCTTTTTGTAACTTAGGATAATGAAATCAGGGAAAAAATAACACTACATTCAACAACTAAATGCTATCTTCTGCTGGGGAGTCCTGAGATCCCCTTTGGACATAACTAAATTATTCTTTCTGTTTGGAAAACATGTCTTCAGCTTTTCTTCAGCTGTTCATAAAGCAGTACTTGAAAAGCCTCAGTGTGGAAAAGCTCCTATCTAGCTGTATTTAATAGAGGAGTTGTCTGCCTGGTGTTCAGCTTTGCTGTAAACATCTTTTGCTAAGTTCTCTGTCTGGCTTGGGGCTTTCAGAGGAGAAACCTTAAGGTTACTCTTGTCCTGGAAAATTGTTCATAATTTTTTCAAATTTTGATTTCCTAATTTGCTTCTCCTTTTAGAGGATTACAAATGCAGAAATAGCTGATTTCATGTTTTATCAGTTTGTTAGCTCTTTTTCTAAAGTGTCAGTGTTAAAATGATATGAAAGTCAAGTTTTATGTCAGACCTATGATATGATTAACATTGGAAAAATATATTTGTTTTGACTGGGTAGCCCTGTGATGAATTTTCCAGGCCACTGTAACAAAAGTGATATCTTAGTATTAAGTTCCTCCTGTTCCTGAGCCAAGCAAGGGAGCACAATGCAAGTTTGAGAGGAATGCAGTTCTGATGGGAATTGAATCCACAAATTGCTAACGTAGTAGTACATTGGTGGCAGGCTATTTGTAGGTGATGAATTATCCATTGGCTTATGCTTATTTTGTTTCTCTTCTTTTAAATACTGAGTAATCAAAGCTGATTTTAGAGTCTAATTTGGATGGGGAGAGGGAAGCAGGTCCTTTTTTTGGTCCTGTTGTCTGCCCTTGGTGAGTAGGCTTGGTTCATTCCTGCCTGCCGTTAGCTGGCCTGTCAGCTTAATAGTGGGGATAACTGAATAGTAGATATTTCCCGTGGGGCTCACTTGAGTGAAAAAGATACTTAACCCCATGTTTGCCACAGACAGCCTGCTAGCTTATTCAGAGGGAGTTCCCTTTAAGTGTTATCTGGAACCATTTTATCTTGCCTGTCTAATGCCAGGCAGTTGAAAAATATAATGCCTTACAAACTTGCTCCTTTATTAAATATATTTGGTGATCCTAGAAAAGAGGATGATAGCATTTCTGATTTCATACAACTCTGAAGCCCTGGTTCTAGTGAACACCATGCATAAGACTTGCTTGATGTATGTTTCATTTATTTGTCTCTTTCATGGTATCAATGGTTTCCTCTCCCACTCTGCCTTTCTGTTCCCCAGCACTGGCAAAAGATGAAGTACCTTTTTCATAGTCATTTGCCAAAGAAATAAAAATCTGGAATGTCAGTCTCTATAGTTTGTGTGAGCAACACTCCCATATAAAAAAAAAAAACAACTCCATTGCCTTATTTAATTAAAATTTGCAATAGAGTACAGTATGTACCCAAATCTCAAGTCCACATTGCTGGCTCTCTCCTTCCTGCAAAACTGCAGTGGTACTCTTCAAGGAGATTTTTGAGCAGCTCCCCAAAGTTCAGGTGTCCTTGCCTTACTCTGAACTTGTTTCAGATTTGTATCCTGAAGGCATCCTTTAGCTTGGTCATTCGTAACAGGCTGTCTGATTGGGCATTCACAAACATTACAGTATTATTTATCAGTACATACTGCTAAGGTTTATCAAGAAATATACAGATTCATTATGTTTTTAGATTGAGCAAATCAATTCAGTTCTCTTTGATCATCACCATTTAGCACCTGTTTGCCATGCTTACACATACTTTGAAACCCATGCTCTGCCCTTCTGTATCTTGCTGGAACTTACTGGCTTTTGATGAAGATATGCTTACTTTGTTATAGAAGTGTTTAAATTTCAAAAAAGGAAATTTTGCAGTTTGAGGTTAAAAAATGTCTCCTTTTCAAAAAGGAAGTAGCTATAATCATTGTAACTGCTATCCCCATCAGCCCATCAAAGGAAAATAAATACCTTAGTAAAGTTTTTTATAGAATGTGACTTGTTTCTGTATGATAATGTTATCTATTATTTACTAAACCATTCCAAATGACATAGAGTTGTTTTACATGCATATATCTATCTGAATACTTAAATGTATTACAGTTCCTAGAGAAAAATACCTTAAGTCTTGCCCTTAATAGCAACTCACTTCGCTTGCTTATTTCCTTTTAAAAGAGGGAATGTTTTAGGGAAGGGGAAGATGCAGGATGGTTTTTATCCCTTATGTGTTATTCATTCATCAGACATGTCATAATGTCATTATATTGAAACTGCCATCAAATTCCTAATTGTCCTTAGGTCTTTATTTGGAGAAATTTTGGGGTGGTGAAAATATAGTTTGTATGGGGGGAAATTCACATGAATGGGTTAATGTGAATCTAGCCATATAGCCTTATCCATAGTGGGTAAAAAAACCAAATCTGCTCTGCAACCTGACCCTACTTCAGTTTTCTCCTAGCTCCTTTTCCCTATTGTTACTTTCCCAATCCCTGTTTACCGTCTTTGTCTAATGCACTTGATTGAATTACCATTTAGAATGTCCTTCTCCTCCAACCTCAACCACTATGGCATGACCCATGTAGCTAGTGTCAGTGATGTGCTGTTGGACAACTCATTCACTCCACCATGTCAGCGGATGGGCGGAATGGTCTCTTTCCGGACTTTTGAAGATTTTGTCAGGTAGGACACTATGGAACTGTGTTTGTACAAAGGGAGCCAGGGGCATCTCTGTTTGGGGGTTTCAGATTTCTGCCAAATGAACAAGATCCCTGAAATAAGCAAGAGCTAACTAAGGAGATATAGCCCTTGCTGTGTATGCCCTCAGAAAAGTATATGTCCTTCCATTTCCACCTCTCATTCAGACTCTACAAGCCTCTACTTGTTATATGAGCCTGGTCAGAGAAAAAGAAACAAACAAAAACCGTCTTTTCCTTAGGAGCTAACAGAAGAAGCTGTCTGCTCTGTGATGAGTGAAATGTCAGGAGAAATTAAACACAACACTAGAGTGAGCCCCACCAGAGACAATACATCTTCTGATTAAATGCATTCAGCATCTATCTGTTGATGTATACTGATGCATTACCCTAGGGGGAGGGGTAATTACGTTGGTCTGTCGCTGCTCCCATCCCAGGCTCTGTTACTGTAAGACCGATGACAGCAGTGCTCATATCTTACATATTAAAAATAATAAAAAGCTTTAGATAATTCTTTTTTTAAAAGAAAAAATACATATGGTTTATTAAATTTTAAACAATCCATCCTCCTAATTTCTGCCACTTGGTGACATTTTGCACGTCACCTCTAGCCACTGGTGATTCTATTCAGTTGACTATTGAGCACAGGGTAGGATAGATTTTTCTTTTAGACTGAGCTGACAATGGCAGCATTAGTTTTCTGCCACTTAGGTTTTCATGATGGGTGTTTCTTTGGTATTTTTCAGGATCTTTGATGAAGTGATGGGCTGCTTCTGTGATTCGCCACCCCAAAGCCCCAGTTTCCCTGAGGCAGGTCACACATCTCTATATGATGAAGACAAGGTATAGTGTCCCCTTTGGGAGACTGCTTTGTTCTTTGAGACACAGGACTTGTACTATATACTATCTTTCTGTTTGGAAAACATTATAGGGAAAATTCATTTTTTTATCCTACTTTATATTTAATTTTATATGCCTTATCAAAGAACTTTTGGAAACAGGTGGAATATAAATTCTTACCTAAAAAAGAAAAAGTATTAATCTCTCAATCCATAGTTCAGAATGGGCTCCTGTGTATCCATTGAAGCTGCCTCTGAGTCTCTGAATGTTGTTTCAAAGACTTGAGCTTTGCTTGCTTTAATTCTTACTATGTGATGGTTTATATATTTGCAGAGTGGTTCTATCATAGTCCTCAGGGAAGGGAGGACTTTAGATAATAAAAAAATTAGGCATTTTGTTTAAAACTTGGCCCTTTTAAGTGATGGGCTGCTTCTGTGATTCGCCACCCCAAAGCCCCAGTTTCCCTGAGGCAGGTCACACATCTCTATATGATGAAGACAAGGTATAGTGTCCCCTTTGGGAGACTGCTTTGTTCTTTGAGACACAGGACTTGTACTATATACTATCTTTCTGTTTGGAAAACATTATAGGGAAAATTCATTTTTTTATCCTACTTTATATTTAATTTTATATGCCTTATCAAAGAACTTTTGGAAACAGGTGGAATATAAATTCTTACCTAAAAAAGAAAAAGTATTAATCTCTCAATCCATAGTTCAGAATGGGCTCCTGTGTATCCATTGAAGCTGCCTCTGAGTCTCTGAATGTTGTTTCAAAGACTTGAGCTTTGCTTGCTTTAATTCTTACTATGTGATGGTTTATATATTTGCAGAGTGGTTCTATCATAGTCCTCAGGGAAGGGAGGACTTTAGATAATAAAAAAATTAGGCATTTTGTTTAAAACTTGGCCCTTTTATTAAATCCCTTCTTTTCATTTATTAGTAAACAAATTGTTTTGTTTTTTTCCCATGAGGTTGTTTTCCCATTGTTTGATACTTAACTGTTTGGTAAATTTTTAGGAAATATATTGTCTCAGAATATGTTTAGGTGGTGGCTTCTTTCATTCATTTTTATACACATTCTGTGAAGGTGTGTGGCAAATGGTTTCATTACCATTTTATTGGTGAAAAAGTTGAGACATATTGGTCTTCAAATCCATGTCAATCAAGATTTGGGGACACCTCTAGCTAATGCTTTGGCTGCCTTATCTTTTCAAAGGTTAGGTGTTTTACTTTATTTAATCTCTGTGTGGCTGTGGGCTGGGCAATGGTTTCGATTTCCTTATTTGTGCATTTGTGCTAGTGGGCAAACCAAGGTGGCCTGTGGGGCAAATCTTTTTTTCAGGTATTCTACCAAGTAGCTACCGTATTTCTTTGTCTTATGTTCTTGGGTTACAGGTCCCCAGGGATGAACCAATTCACATTCTGAATGTGGCTATCAAGACTGACTGTGATATTGAGGATGACAGGCTGGCAGCTATGTTCAGAGAGTTCACCCAGCAAAATGTAAGTCCTCAATTGGGTGGAAACTGGCAATGGCCCCTCTCTTGCTGGCTTCATATTATATCCATCTTTTCATCAGTTGCCACTTGTAAGGTGAATTACTGATAATGGCTGTTCTTTTGCATAGTTCTGTGATTTAATAGTATATAATGAGTATCTTTTTATGTCAAGAAATACAGACCTCAAATATCTGTAATATTTTAAGGAAGAGAAATTTTGTCCCTAAATCCTTCCCAGAGCTCCCATCTTGAACTTCTAGTCACCTGCTGATATTTTCCTTTGGTGACTTAGCTGCACATATCTAGGCCCAACCTTCCTTCATGCCCCTCTGTGTCCTTCCCTTACCTCTCTTGAAAATGACAGTTATACTTCCATCCTCCTTTCAGTTTTGTGAACCTTAGATATCTTAAGTTGACATCAAACTCTGGTTTAAACCTAAATTCCCGTCATTTTCCTTCACTCCTTCTGATTCCCCCTCTCTCTCCAGAACAAAACCAAAAAATGTAAGAAACCAAACCCTCTATCCCCAGTCATTCAGAAGTCATTGACTTCTTCCTTTTCCTTGCTGTTCCATTATTCTACCTATCTACCCACAATCTGTATGTGTTTATTTGTATCTGGTCAGTCATCAAGGTTTGTTTGTTTGTTTTTTTCTTTGCAGCATCTCTTACCTTTTCTTCTTTTCAGGTTTTAAATTCTCACTACCATGTCTCTAATTTTTAAACCTTCACTCACCTTACACTTGAGAATCTGTAGGAGGTTTACTTGTGATCTACCTTTATTCCTTTACTCTCTCCCTCGTTTCCATTCTGCTCACCACCACGAAACCAAATGTCCAAAATGCCCCCTTACCAAGTTGTTCTCCCACTCTACAGTGATTCTCCCCTACCTTCAAGATAACTTCTTACTTGATATTTAACATCAGCCTAGTAAACAAGGTTAACAATCTAGCCTTTGCTATTCCCTGAAGAGATCTAAGTCTTTGTCTCATCTCCCTTGTTTACATCATTTCTTCTATTGACCCTCATCTGCAGTGTTTTCCATGTGTGCTTCCTTTCTTCCAGTCTTCCTTCCTCTCTCTCTCTCTCTTTCTCAATCCTGCTTGTTTTAAGAACTGTCTGAATTTTCATCTCTTTTATGAGGACTTCTCTGAGTAGTCCTAACTAAAATGTATTTTTCTCCCTTAAAATTCTAATTGGTCAGCATACATTTAGTAGTGATAATAATAACTTTTTATTTATAAAGAACTTCTTTGCAAATTTTTAAATTCGTACCTTACCACAATCCCATGGTGGTAGATTAGTCAGGAATTACTCCAGTTACACATCTTGGGAAAAACCTCAAGCTCAGAGAGATTAAAGCATCTTGATCACCACCTGCTAGATTATAGACCAAAAACTGGAATGTAAGGGTTTGATGTTAGCTCTAAGAGGCACAGATCTAGGTGCTTTAGTAAGTAATGCATTCTTAGCCCTAAAGATGCTTATAGTCTAGTTGAAGGGACTGGTTAGGCATGCTCAAAACAATAATCTACAGTTACATTTCATTATAATATCTGGTAGATGCCAAAGTACCCCTCTTCAATTGCCTTTAATGACAACACCCTTGTGTTTTCTTTGAATAGAAAGCACCTAGCCCATAGTTCTTTTTACAAAGAAAGAACTCAGTAGATTTATCAGTATGAACAATTAGTGCTATAGGCACTCACATCATACAATGCTAGTAGCAGATACCCAGGAAAAGATGGTAAATTTATACTTAACATGAGTCTTAGGATTTACTCCATGATGCTCTCACAGCATATCAATATGGGATTGTAGTGGTCAATATGGGGAAAAGGTACTTCCAAAGAAATGAAAGTAGGGAACATACATGGAAATTTTTCTTTAGAAGAGAAAGTAACCTTCCTTCTTGCCCTTGACTAGTGACCACATAAAATTAACCTTAGACCAGTGACCAAGGTAACCTTACCTGAAAGAGTCCCAGTGTTGTGCATGGCTGCTGACTCTGCCGCTTGATGAGAGAATCTGTGAAAATTTCTTCCTAGGTTTTGAGGCACTAATTGCCCATTATTTGATTGTTTTGACCTCAACTTTAGGCTTTTTATTACCCTCAGATCTGTTGTATATCATCACACATCTATTTAAAGAAGCAGTTTCTTCATTTCCACTACATATTATTTGTCATTAATTGGCAATAAGAAATTACCTTTTACCTTTACTGGACTTGTAAACTGAGGCACGGAGGAATCCATTGTCTGCCTATGGCTGTTCAGAAGGGCATGGGCAGACTGTGCTGATATTCTAAGCCTAGAGAAGCTATTAACTGCATCAGGTACTGCGCTTATCCAGGAATATTTGGCATTTGCACTCCTGGTTTTGAAAAAACCATAAAAAGAAAAGGAAGGGAAAGCAATTAAAAAAAAAAGCTGAAGTGATAACTAGTTTTTCACTTCATGATCATGCTCCTAGCAGTTTAGAAAAAGTTTTTTTTTTAAAGCACATATTAAACTATCAAATAGGTTGATCCAAATTGTCCAAATAATCTTCCAGTCCCAGCATGTCTTTTTTTCTCTCATAGAAATTAGGATCATATATTTGTAAATGACTTGTGGAGGAGATTGAAGCAGTCAGTGTAAATGGAGTTTCTCCAGGTGCTGACGCCTAATCGCTGGGTAATAGCTGTGGACTTGCTGTGAGACCCGCATTATTACAATGTAATCAGAATCCTGTTGCTCTGCTGTTATTGTCAGCCACTTGTGGAATTTTAAAAGCAATAACAATTTTGATTTTAAATCATGGCATTATTGAAGTTATTTTCTTCCCTTGCCAGAGCATAGCTATTGATGCTTGTTGTCTTTGAAGGAGAAGGCTGTAGTGGGATTCTTTGTTGGTATCAAAAAATTGTTTCTGTTCCTGGGCACACTAAGAGAATCACCACCACCTCACTCCACCCCTCTCTTTCAACACAGTTTTTTCTTAGTGTAGTGTCATTACTTGGTTATTTACACTAACAGGTATGATGTCAGTACAGATCATTTTTAATGGGTATGATGCCAGAACAGATCCCATTTAAATTTCTTATTTGACCTGGGAAATTTTTATTAGAAAATTCATTTTTCCAGTTATCTTTTGTTTCTAGTGTTAATTTTATTACTAAGCAATGCCATAGTAGAAATGGAGAAATAGAAAATCTCTCAAGAATGTACTTGTTTATAAGAGGAAGGCAATTTGGGTTTAAAAAATATATAGTATCGTGAAAGTTAAGAATTGGCTTATGAACATATCTGTTGGTTCCAGTTAGAACAAGGAATGTGATCAAACTGATGTCTAAATATAGGTTACAAAAATTCACATTTTTTCTATTTGTGTTATTCATATATCTTTCAGGTCATTCAGTTGGTGGGATAACTTTTCTACTTGTTGCGATTTAGCATCTTTCTAAAAGCAGGTCTTTAAGCTTTTTAAATCTATTTCTTTGTTTCTACCTTTTGAGATAAGTGAGTAGTAAGTATAGAGGAAGGCTTAGATCCGGAGACCCCAGACTCATATGAGGGGCTTTCTTTAAACCACTGGTCTCTGTTGACTTCTAATATACTGCTCACCCTATGCCAGGTGGAGACACGAATAATCAATTAATGTAAAAGTCTATTAAATATTGCTTTTAATAATTTTTAAAGAGAATCTTTTTAAAAATACTTCATGTAAAGTAGGTGGGGAAATAGTCTAGGAGAACTGAAAAGGTCAGGATTTATTAGGTTGAATTCTAGGACTGCAGTATCTGATAGTAGGTAATATCTGTAATCTAAACAACAGGTTAGGCCTGAATTTTCAGTTTCATGGAAATTTTTTCTTTTCCCTCTATCCAATTTCATTTAGCTTCTGTGTCAATATTAATCTTCACATTTGAATATATGCCTGCCAGTGTGATTTCTGTAAGCAGAAATTCTATTAAAGTCTACCATGATGTAAATCAGTCCTTATAGACCCTTCCTCCTCCATAGTGTTCTCTTTCAGTTTTGTCCAGCTCAATATATAAAACCTATTCCAAAGAACTTAGTCCCAGACGCCGCAATAAAAAGTATTTATTTATAATTTTGAAGGTACTTAGCTAAGATAATAGATATCCAGAAAGGGTGCTTGCCCAATCAGAGCCTTCTGAGGACCAAATGGGGTAAAATTTAGGATAAATGGAGGTCTCATCTATCTTCTGTTTTCATTGTTTGTTCACAGAAAGCTACTCTGGTTGAGCATGGAATACGACGCCTTACTTTCCTGGTTGCACAAAAGGTATTGTCATGTGAATTATACCTTTCTAATGTTTCTTATGCTACTAGAACTTTTAAAAACAAAAAACAATTAAAATCATATGCTTACTTGTAGAATTTATGAGGAGAAATAACTTTTCTATAACTTCAAGAAAAAACTTTAACTGATCACCTTTTACTTAAAATTAATACATTTTTAATGTTATTATTAAGTGGCAACTTCTGTTTTTCCTTTCTGTCTCTCATTTGAAAGGATTTCAGAAAACAAGTCAACTGCGAGGTTGATCAGAGATTTCATGTAAGTAGAAGGAACCATAATGAAAGATTACTTACTGTTTTATCTGTTTACTACTGATTATTTAAACATGGAATACATGTATGTTATTTAGAGGGGCTAGATTGACGTTTGGTCTCTCTTTTTGAAAGTATTATAATGAATATTCAATTCTCCTGTGGAGTATTCAAGCTAAAGGGCTTTTTCTTCTTTTTTTCACCCTATAATGAATTCTCAATATATTCTTGAGAAATAGTTAAGAATAAGCATATGTATTTATCCAGATGAATAAGGTAGAAGCAGGAGCTAACTAGTAATTTCTTCTGTGCACACAGTGAATCAATAATCAAAGACTACCAGTTGCACTTTGGGGTCTTGGCTTCTACCAAAGGTGGATTCATGAGCTATTATTGAGAATTCTCAGTTTTGAAAAATATTATTTAAAATGCCTTAACAGAGACCAAGTTGGTGTTTTTGTCTACGTTAATTCTAGGAGCAGGAAATAAATAAAAAATGTTAAGTTGCTTTTTCTCCCATTGAACTGAATTAATTGTTGATATTTATAAGATAAAATTTTTATTGAACAGAGAATTAAGTTAGTCAGGCCTCGCACCTAAACTGTGATATACCCATGTGATCATACCCAATGTGATGATAGCAGGAAGGCCAAAAACCCAATTTGCAATCAAGGTGTCTTCTTCTAAAATGCCAGATTATAACCAACTTATTTATTTAAGTGTTTGACCTTAATATAGCTAAGTCAGATATCAGAGGGTATTAGGAAGTCTTAATTTTCCTGATAAAGAATTTTATTTTAACAATTATGATAATTAGTTAGTTTCAAGCCCTGCTGACTTGAAATAATGAAGATAGCATTCTTCCAGAAGATAGATTCTGGAAAGGACTTTCTAAACTCAAGGACCTATGTGTGATTTCTTTTATTGCCCTTTGCTTATTTGGTCTCTAGCACTTGACATTTTGTTTTCCTTCTCACAGTTCACTTTGTTGGTCCAGTCAAAAGAGAAACAGGAGAGACTACCCTGCAAACTGAAGAGCTAGGATTTTCTGAAATGTTTTGGACTATACAACTCCCTATGTTAGTGATGTCAGGAAATCAGGCAGAGTGCAGATATGTATCAATCAATAACTTTAGATAGGAAACTGGAGGTAGTAGAGAAGTATAAGGAGCTTAAAGAGAACCCTGGGGCTTTAGGAAGATATATTAGGAGCGTAGAGAATAAAATTGATACTTGAGGATAGAATATGAGAGCCCATGAATAAATACTGTGGCTGGTAGATGATCAGAACTAAGGTAGACATGCCAGAGCCAGGGACTGGATTTGGAAAGAATACTGGTCTAGGTTCTTCAGTGTTAATGTTATTTTTCTTCTCCTACTGACTTTGGAATAATATATTAATTATTCTTGGGAATAATACTGAACTTGTAAAATTGTTGTCTCTTTCCCTAATGGTTTAGATGAGGTCTTCATGTCTATAGCAAACTAACTGGTTTCCTATAATAAGCATTCCATGATAATTAAAATTCTCCACTAAAACTTTTTGAAAAGCCAAAGCAGTTAATTCTCATGGACAATATTTTTTTTTACTTTATCTCTGAGTCCATGTAATGTCCTGGAGTATATCTACAGCTTTAAAACATATTCCCTGTTATCTTAATATTTCTGGATTTAGGTTGAGTAGGGATGTATATAGGCAATATCTGCTAGGAAATGAGACCAGCAATGGATCTTTCCCAGGAATCATTGTCCAGTTCCTGTTGATTGTGGCATCAAATGGGAAATAAGTTCGATTATCAAGTGACTTGATTTGTCATGAGTTTAGGAAAGGTTGCTTTAAGACAGAGAGCATTAAGGTTTAGGTGTGGATTGGATTTTCTCTGAAGAACTGAATGGCAGAAGAGTTGGGGTATTTTTCTGTTAGGCCCTTAGAAATGATTTGTGGTCATGCAGTGGGCAAGGGCAACTATTAGTGAACTCCAGCCAGGCTCTACAATAGCCAGGAAGCCTTGGCAGGAGTTGTATAAATCCGGGGCTCGCTGTCATGGTGCTGCAATGAGTTCCTCTGCTGGTGGTAGCTTGCCATTCATGAAGGGTGCTTAGCCTCTGTCATGTCATCTGATGTATGCTTGCCCCATAGTTAGTGTAGTGTGAAAAAGAGGAAGCTTTTTGGGGGTATTAGAGATGAATCCCTTGATCTCTCTGGCTTCTTGGTAATCCACTGTGATGTATGCAGCCTCCACTGTTCTACACTGTGAAATCCCTATATTATTGAATTGAAGAGAGACTGTGCACCTGAGGGGGCAAAGAGGGGAGTAACGTTATCAAGTTTGGTTCAAGAACAACATTGGCTGTATGGAATGAATGAAGCAGCTGTGCTTTTACACAGTCATCATCTCTCAGACTGCTTCAGAACCAGAACATGGCAGATAGGGCCAGACAGAGTAGAGGTTCTTAGAGAGTGTGTATATATTGTTAGCTGTTTATTCATATGCCAGTGAAGGCTGTAAGCATTTACAAAACTTGGTTGTTTAATCGCGACAGTCCCCAGAGAGCCATCCACCAGTATGTCTGCTGCTACCTTAGTTTCTTAACTTTACATGGAGACTGTTCTAAATGGAGACTGTTTTTCTGAACCAGCAATATTCACCAGCTTTAAGGAGGCTTTAAGTCAAGTCTGTTTCCATAACCATCTAATTAAATTAAGTACCCATAGTGGGACTTGAAAAGCTCTTTAACATTGATATTTAAACAGAAAGTTTGAAGAAAAACAAATCTATCCATATGACTATCTCCTTCAAATTAAAAAAAACTGAAGATTTGGATGCAAGAGAACAGGCTCTTTGAATTTCTGCAGCTTACAGTTCTCCAGTTTTATGTAGTATTTAAGTCTATTCATTTCACATCTAGAATTCCAAAAAGTATTCCAGAAGGTGCTGTTTAATTGGAACATAAGTATTATACTTTCTGAAGATTTCTGTATTTTTTCAGCAGAGTTTTGTTAAGGATACTAAAATGCATATTTTCTGAGTTTCTTCTTATCCTTTGTCACCCAAACAAAAACATCAGGTTCAAAAACTGTGATGAGATTCTAAATCAGTTTTGCATCTAAATTTCCTTTTGTTTCTTGTTTGTAAGATTTCATGAGATTTTTTAAAATTCTGCTATAAATCACCTAAGCAATAGTTGTACTTTCACCCACTTCGAAGTTAAATGTTTCAGATTATTTGGGCCTGAAAGAAGAGCCCACTGTCACAAATAGTTATCATGGTTAGTTCATTTCTTTAAAAATGTTTTGATATGTCAGATATATCTCAATAAAGCTGGGGGGAAAATTGGTAGTTCTGTTTGCTAATGGATCAACTATTAGTTTTTCAGTAGATTTGTTTTGGGTTTATGTTTTAATTACAGTCTATATAATTAGTTCTCAGCATGTTGAGGTAAGAGAGAATTGCACCAGCAAGTTTCCAATTTCTTCATCTCATTAGGTTTTTAACACAATTATTAGTATCATAATCAGCTATGATGTTTTCTGTTTCAGGTTTTCACATTCTCTGATTTGCAGGGTGTCTTGATTGGCTAATTTAGGCAAATTATTTTGATTGTCTTGATGATGGTTGGCTGATTAGAGCACAGCAGGGGTATAATTTCTTCCTGAGAAATGTTATATTCTTTTGTTTTTTGGTACCAGAACACTAAGAGGGTTTTTCTTTGTGTAGATTCAATTATGATATTTGCCCATAACACTAGTAGAATGCCTGGAAAGCAATTACATTAGTGATAGAATAAGCATGAATGCTGTTAGTGAGAAATTGGCAGTATGAGGATTAAGTAGGAGGAAGGGATTTACTAAAACTATAGGATCAGACTTTTGGATTTCTTCTTTTCTGTGTTTTCTGTGATTTTTGAGCACCAGAAGACATGACTTTTCTATAAAACTCTTCAGACTTCCATATCTCCCATATCTCCTGAGGAGTTGCTCATCAATCCTAATTTCCCATTACACAGAAGTTCTTGTCATTTCCAGTTCTGAATGCTTCATGCTTAAATTGAGTACTTAGCTGTGGGCTAAAAATTTACTCAAAAGCTAAAAAAAAGTTTGTTTATATCATCTCATAACATCTTTTCTTAGCTAACCTTAATGAAGGTAGTTTTTCTGATTGGTAGTCTTTGTTCACCTCTGACAAGAATTAGTGTTTTTAATTATTTTTAGTAAAGGTATTTCCATTAAAATTTTTGCTTTTCATGCCTTCACTTACTACAAGTTTTCTTAATTGGTTTTGTGGTAAAGAAAACTTTTTCTGGTTACCATTGTTATGTTTTTGAAGGAAAATTATTTTGATCCTACATCTGTACACATTTGAATAAATTGTATTCTAAATAAATATTTTAACTAATTAAATTGTTAATAGTTATGGCAGAATAGAAGCATGTGTGCTTGCAAGACTATATTATCACTTTCCTTCACTTTTCTTTCCTAAAATTTCATGGAAGGATTCTGTTACCGTTCCTTTTTTGACTTGTGTTACTTTTAAGCTAATGCTCGGAAAGCCATACCTCTCAAGAATAAAACCAAAACTAGACTATATAAAGCCATGAGCATGAAATCTGACATCTCAGCTGAACATCTTCCTGCTTAACCTTGAAGTCATCCCCATGTTCTTCACTGTCATTCAGGGGAATTAGAGAATTACTTAGAACAAAAACATCATCACTAAAAGATCAGTGCTGTGTAAAACCCACTTTCAAAGGGCTTTTAAAGACCCAAGCCTGGACAAGGAATTTCCCAGGCTTGCTAAACAAACTCCCAGAAGTCTGTTAGATGCAGTTTTACACTTAAGATGCCAAGGAAAATATAAAAAGATTTATTAATTGTTCAAGCTTTTATTTAAGGTCAGGGTGAGGCATAACACCTGTGGAAAGTATTCAAAAATTTCTCAAAAAATTTAAGAACCACAGTTTTCAGCATGAGTTTTGTTTTTCCTTTTTTCTTTGAAGTCTTAATTTCTGTTTTTTGTCTTATCGAAGAGAAGTCCTCTAAATAAGGAATTTCTATTAAACAAGAATAGAAAAGTAATGCCTTGCTGTTGAGATGTAGAGTGGTAGAGATGAAAGAGCATAAGCTCTGCCATTAGAGAAACCCAAGTTCATGTCTCGCTCTGTGGTCCTCAGCATATTTCACTTGACTAAGGCTTCCTCAGCTGTGAAATGGGGTTATGATACATACCTTGAGAGGTTGTTGAAAGCATTCAATGGGACAACACATTAGCACACCTGCCACCTACAAGGCTTTTAGTTCATGTCTCCTTATCATTCCTAAAGCACATTGAGGGATTTTTAGGCAGCTAGTCCTAGTCTTTCTGCCCTGTACCAAGAAGTGTTTGATTATATTGCACTCTTAATGAAGACAATACCTAATGAAACCTCCTATAGAGGCAAATAGTAATGACTTGATTCCAACACTGCCAGTAGAGCTTCCCATCCGAGAAACCAGGGGTATTTTGTGTTAATAAGTTAAATTTCAGAGACTAATGGATTCTGCTAATTGAATTCATCTTTGTTAATTAATAAGGTTCTAATAAATTGGTTGCTTTCTTGTGTAATGCCCTGCAAGAGAGCAGTAAGACCTAATGACTACAAGTTCACTAATTCCACCCCATTCTTTCCTAAGCATATAGTGGTAGTGGCCAAAGTAACATCTTGTACTTTTCTTTGTCATGAAATGTTACTGTTTAAACCCTTGAAATTACTGACTTGAGAATGACTGTGGAAGAAATGTGGATTGGGGATTCTGTGCTGGCTGGCTGGTTTACATTTTAAGTTTCTTAAGGAGAAACTTGGGAAATCAGTTCAGGGACTACTATTGCGATACTTCAGCATAAAGGTATATTAGTCTTATTTGCCAGGTTGTGCCAAGAGCAACACCCAGGAAGCTTTTTTTTTTTTCACTTGGTAGATTAAAAAAATACCAAATTTTTTTTTCTTAGCAGAGGGCAGCTATTGAAGTTAGGTTAATAGTGTGGTTATTCTCAAATTTGGAAGTAGGGTCAAAGTGATGGTTACCCAGAGGATCATTCATATTCCCCAGGCTAAGCTTAGCTGTAAGGAGCATGTTTTCTAGGAAACTGCCTTCTAGATGCTTGACTGCTTCTATGTAATGTGTTTATCCCCAAAGAGCCATACCTACGAAGGACTAACATATTTCCCCCTTCTTTAACACAGAGAGAATTCCCTAAATTTTTCACATTCCGAGCAAGGGATAAGGTAAGGACTGATTTTTTTCCCTCCTTTTTTTTTTAATCTTCATTTTTTTTTAAAGGCCAAGAGGCGCTTGTCTTTTCCATATGCTTACCTTGCCATTCTCTTTTCTCCACTAAACTTGTGCTTTCCCTTGCTTACAAATATGTGTCTTAGAACGAAAGAAGATTCCCTTCTGAAAGAGTTTGGTTTAGGGAACAGCCAAATGTATTGAGCTGTTTATCAAAATGACAACTTTGGAAATCATCCCTATGCTTCAGGACAATCCTAATGACATGGTGTTCAAGGACCACTATGTAGGATTATTCTTATCATCTACAGACAGTTCATTTATAGGCAAGTCTTGTTTACATGCATTTATTTTTCAATTTTAAAATATAAAATTTCAGACCATGTTGGTTTCTTCCTATTACCAGCTTATATTTTTGCCTCTCCCTGTCTAGTCACTCAGTTGACCTGTACTCTGGAAAATCCATTCAGTTTCAGCAAAACATGCAGTAAATGTAAATATATCTTTTAAAAAGAGATACATAAATAATCATATATCTATGGATATAGTATTTTCCAAAGCCAAATATCTCTATTTTCAAAAATTATATGGTGCTTATTTGTTGAGGATCTACTATGTGCTTTGTACTGTGCCAGAAATGGTAAGAGTATAAAACTGGGCCCTGCGTGTAAGCATTTTATACTAGTTGAGTAAACCCAAAACACTGGTATGTGAAGTAGATTTTAATGTGAAGCAGTCTGGTTGATTGTCAAAAATGAATTATAGAGACCTTAAATGGTACAGGAGTTCTGAGGGAATTGGTGTTTTTTGTTGGTTTGTTTGTTAATGGAGAGTATCACCACTTGTGAAAGCAGAAATGATGAAAACTGGGGAAATAAATAGGTATTTTAGTGCCTAATCTTATGTAAGCTCATAGTATTGTCCTTGCATGCAGCTCATTTTTGTTGCTCAACACATCATAGCTTGTTTCTATTTTTAAGCATCTTTCTTACGTACACATTCATAATGCAATTTTTTAACTGCCTCTTGTAAGCTATTTGTTCTTCAATTCTTGCACTCAGTTTGAGGAGGATCGTATCTATCGTCACCTGGAGCCTGCCCTAGCTTTTCAGTTAGAGCTGAACCGGATGAGAAATTTTGACCTTACTGCCATTCCGTGTGCTAATCATAAGATGCACCTGTACCTTGGGGCAGCCAAGGTGGAAGTGGGCACAGAAGTGACGGACTATAGGTTCTTTGTTCGTGCAATCATCAGACATTCTGATCTGGTCACCAAGGTAAGTTGATTTACTTTAATGGGAAGTTATCCCTGAGGGGGAGGGACAGAGAAGCAGGCATGGTTCAAAATCAGCTTTTTGTATTTTTTGATTCAAGACTCTTGTTATTTCATCCCACTCATTTCTCTCACAGAAATAAATATTCCATATAATAACTTTTTTTTCTTTAAATGATGTTTCTTGGTAATGGAAGCATGGTAACACTCACTTGAGAAAAGGTAAAATGTTAACAGAAAAATCACAGGGAGAGTTAGGTGATAATAAAGGATAGGAGAAAAGTTAGAGATGACCCCATTGTAAACCTGTCTAGAGGTAGGGTAGTTTCTGTATATAGCAAGGCACTTCCTGCTGTGTTAGTTATTACTGCACCCCATAGCCATACCCTTTCTTCAACTTTTCTTTCTAAGCAGGTTTCCTTCCTAAATGGCTCTGTTTGGCGTATGTGAAATATAATCCTGTTGGGGTTACAGCGCTGGGGATGCCCAGCATCTCCACCTATTGGAAGGAAATGACACATTAGGAGGCAGGAGGAAAGGCTGGCAGGAGCACTTCAGCTGACCCTTGCCTGCCCCTGCTGCCTGTGGTCACTGGGCTGACACTAGGGAGAAAGATAAATAACATCAGCAGCAGGTGTCTTATGATTCCCGACATACTACTGCTTAAGTAATTATAATCGCCATTTGTATATTGCTTCTTTTAAAAGTAATGTTCCTGGTGATTTTCTTCCTCCTAGGAAGCTTCTTTTGAGTACTTACAAAATGAGGGGGAACGGCTGCTCCTGGAAGCCATGGATGAGTTGGAAGTCGCTTTTAACAACACAAATGTCCGCACTGACTGCAACCACATCTTCCTCAACTTTGTGCCCACAGTCATCATGGACCCATCAAAGGTAAATTTTTCCTTAGCTTTTCTCCCAGCACTACCAAGCACAAGCAGAGAGATTCATTCATATTTATTTTCACAACAGGTGCTCTTGGTTAACTGGTTGAGCCCTTGATCTTTAAAGTTCACAGAATGCTTATAAGACTGGATTGCTGGGATAGTGTTAAAAATTTGGTGCAGCCTTTGAAAGCAGACCTAAAACTGAAGGTTGTAGGATGTTTATAAATCACCAGTTCAAAAACACATAAAACCTTTCTCTTCCTCCCTTGGTACCTGTTTTATGATATTTACCATCATAGCAGTCCCATTCTATATAATTCCTTAGGATTTCTCATCTGGAGTAATTAACTTTGCTATTGTTGGGCCTTTTGGAAAATTACTGTTGCTTTGCCCTGAATGTTACTTACCTGGTGGCCTTAGGGAGGTAATGCACCTTCTCAAAGTGTCTAACCTATTTCTCTTTAGTACTTTTCTGTAGGGGGAGAATTGGTTGATAAGGAATTTTACATGTATTACGTATGTTTTCTTCCCTGAGGCTTTATTCTGAAATGCATTCCATATAATTTAAGGAAGGAAACAAGGTGATTCTGTACTTGACCTTTTATCCCAGGTGTAATAAAGACAGGCTACTCTTTGTTTCTGTTTCTACTAACCTTTTTCTGTGATAATATTGTGGAATTTGGATAGGAGAACCAGTATCTCTGTTTCTCAAGCTCAATTGTAGGCATGGACTTTTGCCTTTTGAACTTAATATCTAAGACCTGAGAAATCGTTTTCTATTTTTTTCTTCAAGACTCCAAACTACTTACTGGTTGCTTAAATCTGACAGGAAAGCCAAGGACAAGGCTACTCTTAGTATTAGGTCTCACATCTAGTTTAAGCAAAGGTTTTCCTGAGCATCCTAGGAGTGATAAAGCTGGAAGATTTAAAACATGGCTGGGACACTCTAACTATATATATTTTTAGATTCAACTTAACCATTTCTCAGTGAATTTTTTATATCAGCTTCTCTGCTTCTACTCTCAATACCCAAATGCCCTAGCTCTGCCTTCCTAATCATAGATAACTGTCAATTTCTGGTATATAGAAATTGCTGACTTTTGTTCCCTTGAGAAAAGAATGGATAGATATCTTTTGGTTAACAAGCAGGTGTGAGCGTAGAGAAGTAACTCGTTGAAATCCATTCTAACCTAAATTTCTGTGGTGCAGAAACAAATTGCAACGGTGGCATCTACTTCTGAAGAACTGCAAAAGAAGGGTGATAGAGGTACTTTTGAGATAGTCTAAGAAGTTGAGAAAGCATTTTAGAAAGATACTTCACTGAAGAAAACATTAATTTTGAGTACTCCTAGCTGCCTGCAGCCATATTGGAAAAAAATTTTCGCTTTAGTATGTCAATAAGGAGAAATATATCCAAGGTATTTGGTTAAAATAACTCTCCCAGTCCTGAGAATTAGGCGCATGAGACTGTGTTGTTATAAATCTTAGAGAAAGTAGGGAACATCTGTCCCATCTGCTTAAATCCCAGTTGGACTTGGCAATGATGAAGCTTCAGACCTCTATTTAGAGAGAATATTCTAGCACCACCTACAAATTGCCTTTCTTTAATTTGTATAATTTACCAAGAAACATATATTATAAAGTTTAATAAAATTGTATGGAAAAAAGCTCATGGTGGTAATTGCTATGTTGATTTAAAGTCTTGTAAGTGCAGTGAAACATAGTTACTATGCATATAAATGCTACTTAATAACTGTTTAACTAGAGATTTTATTCTTATTTGGGGCCTTGTCTTAAAATCCCATGGCTTATAATTTTAGATATTGCAGATCTTTGATACAGAGTATAATTGGGAAAGGGGATGGCAGTTGCATAGATTTAGGTTCTGTGAACCAGAGGATCCAACTCAAATGCTAGGCCAGCATGAAATTGCCCCTGACTTGTTCTAAGCAAGAGTAATGTTGGGGATAAACTATCTGACTTTATGTAAGGAATGCATGTAGTGCATGTGTCCAGAAACCAGCAGCTTTTTCCGTTCCTTCTTTCCCAAAGATGGGCAGACCTGAAACGGGTCCTAGTTACAAGGTATTTAAGTTTTGTACTTGGTGATATGTCTGTGTCAGATTGAGGAATCTGTGCGGAGCATGGTAATGCGTTATGGAAGTCGGCTGTGGAAATTACGTGTCCTCCAGGCAGAACTGAAAATCAACATTCGCTTGACACCAACTGGAAAAGCAATTCCCATTCGCCTCTTCCTGACAAACGAGTCCGGCTATTACTTGGACATCAGCTTGTATAAGGAAGTGACTGACTCCAGGACAGCACAGGTACAATAGTCAAAAGCAGGCGCCTCAGAGTTTTGATTCAGTCCTTTAGATAAGCTGTTTGTCCTTGTTATGGAAGACACAAACTCACAAATCCCATTTGTTCACCTGGTGGAGTTATCTTCTGTCAGCTTAATGGTTGCATGAATTTGAAAAACTTCATTTGCCTTGTAAGATGTACCTATGTCCTTAATCATGGGTATTAAGAAACCCTCAACCTTTTATCACATACTAAGTCCTAACAGATGCCAAGTGAACCTGACTCCAGAAGTGATTCTGCAATTTAAGGCTCTTGGGCTTCTTCAGAAATTTTGTCTTCCCTAGTCTGATTTGTCCTTATCTTCCTGTTTTCAGCCTAGTTAGACTGCTCAAGTAAGGAAGGGAGAATTGAACTATGTCCACCAACTTCTAGCTCAAAGATTGAAAACATCATAATATAAAAGCTAGAGCAGTATCAAGCAATGACTTTATCATATTTACTTATTATGTAATTCCATATATGCACATTATCTTTCCTTCAAAGAGTTCAGGGTATTATATATCTATAAAAGAGCAAAATGACAAACTTTAACCCATTTTTTAGGTAGAAAAATCGAGAATGTGAATGAAAATGAAAAGTGACTTTCAGTAGATTGATTCTGGTATAACAGAGATCCCTCTAAGAATCTGTTTTATCACCTTAGTTTCTAAATATTTGGGCCATTTTCTGTGATACTGGATTTAGGTTGGTTCCCCATTATGCACAGCTTCTTAAAAATTAGGATGTTATTTCAGTTCTTTCCCCTGAACTTAGAATGAATGTACATTTCTTCTGATTAAAGGTTGAACTTGCACCAGTATGTGCAAACAAAGGTTTCAGTCTGTTCTGTGCATTGGGTACCGAGAAGAGATTCTATGTCTCTTTGTTTTTCTATACTACAGCCTTTTAAATCCAGGAACAGAGACAAGAAAAAGCATTTGCCAGTATCTTGATGATGGATTTTAAAAATCTGAATTTTGATAGTTGTCAGAGTGACCTTTCATTTTGTGCTTCCATTCCCATTTAGACGGCCAGAGAAATCTACCCAATAGGAAGTGAATAGTTAAAACAAAGAGTGTATGCACAAGAGTGCAAGGGGTGAGCAAGAGGAAGAATATTCAATAATTTTTGCTGCATTTAATGTTTTTCTGGACAACCTTAAAGACATTTTCAGTCCAAGATTTCCAAGGTCAGGGATGTTTTTAATTAACTTCTACAATGGCTTCAAGGCAGGTCTATCCTTGTGAAAAATAAGATGGCCACTTGAGATTTTAATGTTTTTGATAAATATGTTTGTTCTTCATAACTATTTTTTTTTCCTAAAGCTCTTAGAATGGCTGGCTAGTGGTGACACAGGGGAATGAAAAGCACAGAGACCTTCAGTCAGGGTTTAGTACTGTGCCTGGCACAAAATAAGCACTCAATAAATATCTGAAAGAATAAATGAGCTGCTTTGGCCTGAACCCGTTTTACCATGGATCCTGCATATTTAGGAAACCCTGAAGGAAGAGGCCTCCCTCAGGCTCTCCAGCTGAGACAGTTCAGCAACCACTGCTGCATGTAAACTCAAGAGCCAGTGGCTGGAGGAGGCAACCAACAAAAGGAACAGCTTCCATCTCAGTTTCAGCACTCCTAGTGCCAACCTGATGCTTACCACCAGTTTATTTTTTCCCTTTTTTTGCGCTAGTGTGTAACTATATGAATTAAAAATGTGTAGAACCCTGTGTATCATTCATTCACTTGTTCATTAATTTAACATTTATTAACTCCCTATAGTGTGTCAGGCAGTGTGGACACAAAAAGTGATCTGTATTCTTAAGAAATTTTTACATCATGATAGAAGAAGACAGATGATTAGTTTCTTGGTAGCATGACTATGATTTGTGTCATCCTAAAATAGATACAGGGTTCTAAGAGAGCGGACTAGATGGGATCAGAGATTGTTTTCCAAGAGAAGCCCTTCTGATGGCCTCTGGTGAATACATAAAATGTATACATATATGTATATGTACTTTATATATATATAAATATATATACTTTACCAGTTTTTAACTACTATGTCCATTACAGTAGAAAATGGAACTAACAGGTAGCTGATCATTCAGAGGCTTCCAGTATTCTCCATTATCATCAACCTCTTGTTCAGCACATCATTTATTCTTTCCGCCAACAAGAAGCAAGGTTGACTGGCTTGAGTTTCTTTTTTTTTTTTTTTCATTTTCTTTGTATAATCTTTGCAGTATTAGCTGTAATGAGCACTGATGTCAGGCAGTCATAGTGGAGAGAAGAGATTTAGGTAATCCATTGCATAAGTCAGTTGATTTCCAATATGTACTGTAAGAGGGAAACATACATTCTAAATTCACCTTTATTGAGATACAACTTACATGTAAAATATACTAATTTTGTGTGTATAATTCAATTCCTTCTGAAATTATATACACCTGTGGAACCATTACAATCACGATAGAGAACGTCTCTGGACATCCCCAGAAGTTCTCATTTTCCTTTGCAGTTTTTAAAGGTAGTCATCAGCTCCAGCCCTAGGCAACCACTAATCTGCTTTCTGTTATTATAGATTAGTTTTGCTGGCCCTAGAATTTCATATAAATGAAATTAGTGTGTACAATATTGTATCTTCTTTTGCTCAGTCTAATGTTTTTGAGATTCATCCATGTTGAATAGATTATGGCTATAAGCCTTGCTAAGTAGTATTGTATTTTCTTTTATGGATATACCAAAATTTTTGTATTCATTCATCATTTGATGGATGTTTTGAAGTTTTATTTTCCAGCTTGGGTTATTATGAATAAAGCTGTTATAAACATTCATTTGCAATTCTTTGTGTAGATACGTTTTGATTTGTCTTGTGTAAATAACATGAGTGTAATTACTTGCTCATAATAAATGTATGTTTAACTTCATAAGAAACTGCCAAACTGTTTGCCAAAAGTTGTACCATTTTAATCCTTGCCAGTGACGAGAGTACCTAAAGGGGCTTTCTCCAACTCTCTTTCTTAGTCTACATAGTTATTACAACCTAACTTCATTCCAGACCTTGGCAAAAGTGAGTCTCAAACCCTGTACACACTCGTCTTGTCTTTCCTACTAGATAGGAATGTAGTTGCAAAGTCCTGCTCTTTTACTCCTTATTATTATCTTGATTTGGCTTATATCTTATGAGTCCAGTTTTCTCATACTCACACCCTGGCCTCACTTAATACTTTGAATCTCTTAAGATATTACTATTTCTACCTAAGACATTGCTAATTCTACCTTGCATCTAGTAACTTTCACCATTAGTCATGTGGATGAGACCTGGGAGCTCCATTCTGTGGGGTTTTAAGCAGCTCAAGATGATTTTTTCCCACAATATTACCCACTTGACAAGTCAACAGAACACATTTGCTTGTCTGAGCAAAGAGCTAATTAGGAAAGTACTTAATTCTGTTCTTATGCCTGTATATCAGGCCTACAGATGTATTCCTTAATGGTAGACTTAGGCTTATGTACATTATTAGGTCTGAGTGGATATGTAGGTGTACACACACACCCTTACTTCCCAATCTCCATTTGTATTCACTGAGCCAGGAACCTATATTTTATGTATTCATGCATAAAGTGCCTAGTTTAGTGTCATACAACCTCTGGGCACTCAATAAATATTAAACGAATTGAAGTAATGGCATCTCTTATAAATATTCATAAGCAAATAAAACTAAATATATGGAGTATGAAGTACTCTTTTAGGAATATTTGAGTTAAAATTAAAAACTGGCATGGTGACTTCATCATGTGACAATATAGGTATTGTAGGAGCTATTTACTATTTGTAGATACAGTACACTGGGAGAAATAAGTATGTATATTTATATTATACAAATACATATAATTTAATAACAGATTTTACTATAGGCTATCTCTTATCCTAATGCAAACTAGCTAGAAAGATGGATGAAATTCACTTCTGGCAAAAATCTTTGAAGCCTTTGTGTGGTTAATAATACTTGAGAAGCATCTCATAATCAAGAAGACTGAGGCACAGCTGATAATAGTAGATCCTTGACCTGACCTTCTGCCTCTGGGGAAAGAACAGTGCATAGCTGTTCCTCAACTTAAATACTAGCACTGCTCAGACTGGTTAGTTACATGCTTCATTTCTGAGCATATGAGATTCAAGTCACTTTAGAAGGCAAACTTTATCAGTCTGTCCTTGAGATGTGAAATTTACACTGTGCTTTCTTGTTGATTTCAGCTAATCCAAAAGTGAGAGCAACCTGTGGTGTATGGTTAGTCACATACCATTTCTTGGTGTTGGTTAACTGTAGAGAGGTGAGAACACTAGGTACTCAATGTTAAGAGGCATGTCCTAAGTAACTAAACCCACCAAAAATGTATTTAAAGAAATAACATTTGTGAGAAAGGCCCCTCTGAGCAACTGTCTGATTTTTTTCTCTGTCTCTTAGCTTACCATCCCATCCTCTTTTCCTGCAGATCATGTTTCAGGCATATGGAGACAAGCAGGGACCGCTGCATGGAATGTTAATCAACACCCCATATGTGACCAAAGACCTGCTTCAATCAAAGAGATTCCAGGCACAATCCTTAGGGACAACATACATATATGATATCCCAGAGATGTTTCGGCAGGTAAAGGTGACTGACTGGTGCGGTGCCTCTGACATGTTCCAAAGAGGCAAGGTTTTTCCTGAATTTCCATCAGATGCAGCTTAGACTGGAACAGGGGTACTCCCAAAGGGCAGGAAATACCTTGACACTATTCTCATTTCTATCTCATTTGGGATTTGGTGACTACCAACTCAGATGTTGGATGGTTCTGTATGAATCAATAGGAGGAATGGTGAATATAGAAGCCTCTATTGAGTAGAAGACAGTAAACGGAGACCACATGCCTGAGATGGTAGTTTACAATGACCTGACTGAGAAGTTACTTTCAGGTATATATTTCCTAAACCTATATTCAAATTATGGATATTAAAAAAGAGATTTGAAACTCTAGTTCTCATTTTCCTATTTTCCAAGATAACCTAGGTCTCCAGCTGATAGTTAGTATGATGAAATTGGCATAGATAACATACACAAATGGATATAGAGTTTGTGGTACACTGTTTTAAAGTATCAGTTCTTTTGTGGGAGATTTATTATAGTTGAATAAAAACTAGTGTGAGAAAATATGACATTATGAATTTTGCTCTCTACATGAAAATAAATTCCTTTGAACTATATGGTGAATCACTTCTATGCTGCAGATTTTTCTTCCATCAGTAGAAGGCAAGAAAAATATATCAACAGCAGAAACTGCAACAGATAAAGAATAAGGTATCAAAAGAATACTGAATTTGTCCTAAAAAAAAAAATCTATGAATATAGGATTTTCCAAGTCTTCTAGTCAATACTACCACTATTGCCACATCTGAATTTTAATAAAGTAATATATATGGCCTTGGTGAATAGTCTTCTATAATTCCTGTAATATTCACGAATAAGGGAGATTTCCCTTATGCAACCATTTGTTTACAAATTCTTTCTCTTGAAATATAGCAGCTCTCTTCATTACCAGCATTGTTTAGTATTACCAGTATTGTTAATCTGTAAATTGACTCCTGATTCTGTTCCCCAATGCCAGTGCTGTAAATAGAAATCACATTCTGTTTAATTCTTCTTATAGAATAGACATAAACACTGCGATTAGGACATGTAGGTGTGAATGAGTCATACTGGCTTTAAGTGTTACTTTGAGGCAAGCAAAGAAACAACCGAACTAGTTCCCACTTCATGAGGCTTTTGTTTGGTAACAGGAGGTTGGAAATGGAAATCATAATGGCTTTAAAATGGACAGGTAGTTGTGTCTGTCTGTTTTCTCAAATTTGAGTGGAATTGATCTGCATATTTACAAATAGTCTTACACTTCTAGTGAGCTAATTCCCGTATCTGAGCCTATAGCTCTGAAAAGATTAGAAAGAGGATGCTTCTTCTGAACCTCTAGGAGATACGTTATTCTTGCCTTCTTGGATTTTCTCTGTATTAGCTGAATGTCATGTCATTTTCCTGGTTATTCTACTGCCACATTTCTCTAGGATTTTTCTTCCTTTTTTTAAGGAGAATTGATGTTATTTATTTATTTTAATTTTCCTGAGATATCATTAAGTCTGTTGTGTTTGTTAATGCTCTAGTGCTGATTTAGAATCACTCAGTAGTTTGATTTTGTTGGAAAAGTGCCTGATTTTTGACATGTAAAAACATACGTGAAACATAATTACCAATCTATTTTCACTGAAAATGAGAGCTTTAGAATTTGGTCTAATGCTTAGGTGCTCAGCCAAACACTTGGAAAAGAAAGAGCAAAACCAGGCTGACCAAATCTTTGTGTTTATTTTTGTCTGTGTTGAAATGCTAATTGTGACTGATAAATCAAACTTCTCTCCTCCAATAGTCCCTGATCAAACTCTGGGAGTCTATGTCCACTCAAGCATTCCTTCCATCACCCCCTCTGCCTTCTGACATGCTGACATATACTGAGCTCGTGTTGGATGATCAAGGTCAGCTGGTCCACATGAACAGGCTTCCAGGAGGAAATGAGGCAAGTAGTTGAGTCCCCTCCCTACTTTCTTATCCCTGTGCCCACTAGTACCAGCTTTCCCTGGGGGTGGTTACTAAATAGTATTAATTAAGATCCAAGTGGCATAAGCAACATAATAGCCTTGTTGGCAGAAGTCTTTAGAGAGAGAACATTGTATATGAAGGTTTATCGTTAATTTTTAGGTATGATAATGGTATTGTAACTTTTCTAATGGCATTACAATTTTGCCTTTTAAAGGAGTGTTGTTTTCTGTTAGACATACATACTAAAATAGTTATAGATGAAATGATCTAATGTTTAAGATTTACCTCAAAATGGGGGTGACTTGGGAGCATGGATGAAACAAAACAATGTTGCTCATGAGTTGTTAATTGAAGCTACATGATAAAATACATAAGAATAGATTGTTTTCACTATTTTTGTATATGTTCAAAACTTTGAGGTTTTTCTGTAATAACATTTAAAGTATTATTTTTCTTGATGTTTTTCCTTACTTGGAGACTTATTTGCATACTGGTATACATTCTTTGGGGCATATTTTCCAATCTCAGGTAATTTGACCTGATTCTGTTGTGAGCATGGTAAATATATTCTTAAAGAGACTCAGTCAGAACCAGGGGTTTAAACACAAAAGAATGTAAGGGAGAACCCATTTCTGACAGTTACCCAAGAATGTATTTCCTAGCCTTGGAATCTTCCTTTCTGATAATGTACTATCAATAATGATACAAAATCAAGTTCTCTATACCCTGTATCCTCCTCCATGCATTAGGATTCTTCTTGATTTTAACTGTGCTTCTAATGTAGTTACAACTATAATGGTAGTAACAGTAATAAGAGATATATTATTTCAACCTTAGATATAATCCCTAGATAAATCTTATTCTTTAGAAAGATTAATCTTTTACCTGGGCATTCATAACAAGCTGGATAGACCTTTGGAGATAATATGCAGTTTTTCCCCACTTTATGCAGTATCTTTAAAAAAAAAAAAGTTTACTGTATATACAAGGTGTGTGGGTGTTTGGTGGATGCCAGTAGTAGATGACTTGATATTAAGATGGATGTAAGCATTGGACCAGATGGAGAGCATTTGACTTGCAGCAGTTCTTCTAATCTAACAGTTCAACAGATAGCAAAGACAAGGGAGAAAGGATGCATGGACTTTTGATGAGAGTAGATAAATATACACTTGTTAGTACATAAAGTTGAAGCAGAGGTTTGTGCCACTGTGTGTAGCATCTATTTAGTGAGCCCCTTAAGAGCAAAGAAAAGCTTCATTGTGCTAGACTTAAATTTTGATTCACTGAACAGAGTAGTCTTCAGGAATGGAAGGCACCCTTGTGAAAATGGGGCTGAGGGAAAAACGGTTTTAACTAATGTAATTAAAACAAAAAATGAGATTTTGGGCTGTGTGAAAGCTGCAGTGCTGTGTGAAACCTCTTGCCATGATCTTTCTTTCTGTTCTCATTCTGTGTTTGAGTGAATGGAGACTGGGGGAATAGTGAAATCCCAGAGGGACAGAGCTCTGTTCTTGCTGAAATTACAAGCACAGAGCTGCCTGGGCATGAACATGTAGTGTTTACTCTGCCAGTATGAATACAAATAGTCTTATTATACGGGACTCTGTACCCAAAGACCACACACACACACACACACACACACACACACACACACACACAAGAAGAATAAAAAAATTAAGGTTTTTTTAACCCTTTTAGACCCAACAAACCTTGGTGGAAAGGGACGTCTTGGCCACGCAGTACTGTAATCATGAGCAGTAGAGTCAGTGATGGGACCATATGTTTTCCTTTGCCCAGTGCTTTCATAATCTTGAAATCTAGAAATCTAGTAGTGTTTAAAGAAAATTTTTTTTTGCTATTTGTCAGTTCTCACTTTCTTCTTATTCTTTTCTTTTTCTCCCTAGTTAGCTATTTTCTTTGTTCTCTTTTCCTTTTCTTCAGATGGTTGACTAGGATTGAGGATGAGTGTTAGCTTTTTGTTTCTGAGTGTTTGAGCTCAGGAGGAATGAGACTGATGTTCTTTTGTGAGCAGTTAGTGGCTAATGCCCGGGGTGGCTGGTGAAGTCACTCAGTGGCTTTAGCTAGATTATAGAGCACTACACAGCAGGAATGAGGTTGGGGTATTAGTATCAAACTCTGTTACCAGTAGCTTGAGCATACAATAGAGCATGTCCACTGAGAGACTGACCAGTCTAAAGATGGAGTTTTATCAGTCACAGCTCTGAGGGACAGCTGTGCCTAAGAGATGACGAGGTGTCAGTAGGATGTATTTCCTTATGCTGAGCTCGGTTTTATCATGACAAGTTCACTTTCAGCTATTGCAGTTTAATTTTCTTTGGCCAAAGAAGTAAGTTTGTCATGAGCCCTGCACTCTACATATTACTCCAAGAATGATGTGAAGGGAAAGAAAAGAGCTCATGCTGATGAGATTTGGAGCAAATACGTCCTGCCCCAAAGAGAATGGGCATTTGAACAGAGCCTTGAGAAATAGTTTATTAAAAAAGGAATAAAAAATTGACCTGTTAATGTTCTGAGAGCCAAGGCTCAATGTAAATGCACTGATGCTACATAGACATTAAATCATCATAATGTGGTGTTCTCCAGAGGTGATGGCTCTCCAGGTCATCATTGTGGGTGATAGTGTATTACCTTGAAGGATTGGAGTTTCTGGGTTTAAAAGCCAGCCCCATGGATATAAGGAATAAAGGTAAAACAAGAGATTCCTGCAGAGTTTTCCCATGAGTTGAGATGCTTTTCCCCAGAATCAAAGGCAGAAAACCTGTACTTATCAGACCATTGGCTGTATGGGTGACCAGTCTTTCTTCCCTATTTTTTTTTTCCAGGATGGTAAATAGGAAAAATGGTGATGGGACCAGGACTTGGAACAATTCAGTTCCATTTAGTTTTAGGTAACTTGTTTGCCATTTGAGAAAGAATATTGGCTGTTTCAGCAAAGATGTGACCTGCATTTTGAACATTGTGCCCATATTAAAAGCAGGAGAGCTTTTCTGATGCACTGTTAGCTGCTTTCTCCTTTCTATTTTCCTAGTTGTTCCTACACCATCAAGAAAGATGTAACTGAGGGAATGCCACCTTACGGATGATGAAAGGTTTAGGAGAACACATTTTTCTCATTGTCAGATTTGAATGGCACTGCATTTAGTGTGAATTTAGAGTAGGAATAAAAAAGATGTAGACCAGATCTGTGAACTATGTTACTTGCAAATAGCTCCAAAGATGAGTTGTTCAGGATTTTTTTAAATAGTTTCAAGTAAAGATGAAAATTGAGGACAATGTGATCTCAACATAGACTAAACTGATTTAATTTCTAGCTGCTATGTTGCCACAGTGAGGCACTGTCTGTAAATTCACAGCCAGATGAATGTGTTCTGATGAGCCTGGATACAGAAAAAATGCAGCCAACCAACACTTCTACTTTTGTTCTCAATTTTGGAGGAATTGTTTTCATTTTCCTGCCAGTTTGCTAACCTGTTCTGATCATTTGGTGGACGTTGTAATTGCAGGTGGGAACATTTTGAGTAACAGTTCACAGTCCACTGCAGCTGCTTTTTCACACTAAATCCTGTTATTAAAAGGCTTAGGCTAAGATCAAGCCAAGGGTTGTAACCAGCTTGACAGAGGACAATGTAACTTTGCCTGGTAGGACAAAGAAAATGCTAGCCTTCTTGAGACTGTGTTCTTATTTGTTCTGAAATGTTGTTAGCATTCTTTTATTATATTTCCTTTAACAACTCTGTGACCTAGATCATGAATCTCTATATTGGGCAATGATGAAAAATCTGAGAGAGAGGCAACAACTTTTATAGCAATTTTAGTGTGGATAGAAATTAGGACCTGTTTTCCTTACGATTTCAGAACATGGTCTTTTTATTAATACAAATCTGTCCATTTCCTCTCATCATTCCTGACATAATGAAAAACTGAGACGAGAAGAAGAAGACTCTGTTTTTAGAAGCAGTTATAATAATTAGTTATAGGATGTATACTCCAAAAAGGGTGGGAAATTAGGGACTGGAATTCTTGCATGGTATTAAATTTTTTCCTTAAAATTTTACTGGGAGATAAGTGTATTTCAGATTGAACACAATTTGATGATCACCTCCACACACACCACCCACACTTGATTTAAGAATTGTAGTGTGGCTCCAAGGCTTCATTTTTTCGGATGGTCACTAGATGTCAGGGTTTTCTTTCTTAGCAGCTTAGCATTTAGACAGGCCTCTTGAATTGCCCTGTTTGGGGAGGCAAATCCAGTGTTATCCTTTCCTTTCTTTCTCAGTTGGTATTGTAGGCTTTGCCTAGTGTTCTATAGTACACAATTGCATTTTTAACTCTTTTCGTGGAGATCTGTTGAGCCTTACATCATGGCTGTTCATATTTTTACAGGAAACATTTTTTTTAGGAAGAGGATGATTGAGGAGGAAGGATTAATTAAAATTTAAGAACTAGCTGCCATTGTGCCTGGTATCTTTCTGTTCTTCGGGTGAAATGGTTATGATGATAAGAATTAGGAATTCCTAATTCCTGCTCATCCTTGACCGTGTTTGCTGCTTAATTGTTGGCAGTATGGTGATGTCCAAGTTCCATCTAGGCATAACATCTCAACTTTTTTATTATAAAATATTTCAAAGCTTATAGAAAAATATGGAGAGTGATATGACAAATACCACCCCTGTATCTACCAACTATCTTAAACAAATCTTACCATTTGATATTACTCCTCACTTATATGTTGCTATATCCTTTGAAATCTCTAATTTGAGTATTAAAAAAAATTAGGAGTTGAGTAGGGAAAGGAAGTTAGTAAGCTTATGTAAGCCTAAAAGACTGGAAGAAATTAATTAGTAGATTCATTTTAATAGTTCTTAGGCTGGACCTCTTAACCCAAAGGATGTCTTATTTTAGAAAAACCACCATAACCCTCTGTCTTAATTCACTTGGCTGACATTTGCTGTA